TCTTGTCCACTGCAACCTTTATTAGTTTGTAATTTCTGACTTGCGATAGGGTGTGTTGGGAGTGGATGAATTTTCTGGCCTCTGCCGGTGTTTCGAACTGAAAACGAATAGGACAACACTTTTCATGTTGACTCTTCTTCAGCCTGTAGCACTTAGTCTTGGAGTTGGGCATTTTCGCCTCACTAAGTAGGATGCGCTGTACCCTTTTTAGTGCCTCATTGTCCGGAACGTTGTAGACAATAGCATTTAGTTTAGCATCGAGTCGTTTTGTTACTTCTGTAGTAACAAAGTTAATTAGGTTATCCACCTTAGATATCGATTCATTGTCAAGTTTGTTAAGGTTTACAGTTTTCATGAGAATAGTTAAAGGTGTCAGTTCACAGACCTGCGATCTGATATCACTGATCTGATCTGATAAATTGGATATTTTGGTATTGGTATCAGAAATTCCAGGATCTACTGACTTATTGTTTTTTAAGTCCCTTAACTCGGCCTTAAGTTCTCCTATAGACAACTTTAGAAGTTCTATTTCTGAAGATAGTACTGAAACAGAGTTTGAAGGCTGGAGCTTTTCGATAAGCACATAAGGTGCAGGGAGGGTTTCTGTATGAGCAGAGGGTACTGAATTTTTGGGAGTAGTGCTAATACTAGCTGTCAGTATAGTTTTATCCTCAGTTTCAGCTCATTTTACTATAACCATTTGTAGGAAGTGTGTTGCTTGGTGTAGCAATCAACGACTTAAAATTAGTCATCAGTTTTACAGGGGATTGAGTTCGCTGCTTTTTACTTTGGTTAACCATAACTATTTGAAATGAGAGTTAATAGTTATAGGTATGGAAGTAGTAGAGTACTTGTGCAAGGATTACAACAAGATAAATTTTATGTAACGAATCACGCAAAAATGTAACGCAACCGTTGGACGTACCGCTACGACTTTTGTAAATCTTATACTTACAAAGGTTTCGAATTTTGCGGTATTCCATCCAAAACTCATCCCTCCCAGTCACAGCAAACCGGTCCCATAAGTTCTTCCGTTTTCTTAATGACTCCCTTATGTAATTACTAATCCAAAGTGGTTTGTGAGATAGTTTTCGAGGCGTATACCAAGGTACAAAGGGTGCAGTGATGCATTCTAGTGTATTCCTAAATCCCATCCAAGCTTCCTGGTGTGGACCAACAGACCAGTCAGCTAGGGTTGCTGCATTTTGGATTGCAGGTATATTTGCTTTCCAAACGTTTGGGCAAGGGACAAATAAGATAGATCCGTAGTTCTATTTTAGCACACCTTGTTGTTACCGAGCATAAGGTTGATGTGAATACTGCATTTAACATTATTTATCGCATTCCGACTAATCCTAATTTCGCTCTACGAGTTCGTATTCTACAGACAGCTGAAGCAATCGGAATCCACCTTAAGAAGTCAAGCCTATGTGTTCAGAATAAATTTGTGCAGCCACTTTCCTTACCGTGGTCATCTCTAGAAGAATGCATAAACAGGACTATGTCGCCCCCTCCCCCTAAACTTTTAAAAACTATAATTGTCCAAATTATTTTACTGTTTTTTTAATTTATTTTGACCACTTCATCTTTAATTACGTGTTATCCTTGTAAAATTAATTTATTCCATCCATTTCTATCCTTTAAATGTGTATTGATTTTCTTCGTTAATTATCAACCGATTGACATTTTGACACTGTTTAATTATTGTTAACAGACATATCACCACTTGTTTGGTAAAATGTTGTGTATTGTAATAAAAATGCTACAGATATTAGAGTAGAGCCAGAGATGAGGATCTAATTGAAAAGTAAATATTTCTTCGCTCAATATTTCTGCTTTCTAAATTATTATTAGTCTGCATTGAGTACAATGCACTTATGGTGTTACTTACGATGAAAATGCTGACAAGATTATGCAAGTATATGACTTATTTTAAATTAACACCCAATTTGGATGTAAATCAAGAATAAGATTTGATGCTATACACAGTTTAGAGGCTGAAGATATTGACGTTCACGGATAGTACGAATTATGCTAACGCAAGATCTAACACCCACAACTTCTATAGTATTCGTTCCGCGTAGACCAAGGGCAAAGCGAAGCACTAGCACTGACCGTCCAAATTACGAGTGATATTTCGGGGCCAAATTAGAGTGCGAGATGATTGCTTAACTAGCTAGGGATAGTCCGCGAACGAACAAACGTGACACGAAGGAGTACCAAATGGCGTGGATGCTTGACCGGAAGCCTTCAGCTAAACAAGTCGACTCAAGCAGTGAGGGTCAGCATTCAATGTCCAGTGGTGAATGCTGTGGCCAATAATTTTGGGGAATTATTTACTACTAAAGCTCACTGTTCCCCTAGTGGCGTTGTGGGGAACCTAAGACAAAACTAGCCAGAAATAAAAAACTCAGTGGTTTTCCCTTCGGTAAAAAACTCTTCCAAGCGGCTTGCTGTAGTGCCTACTGGTTATCTACCCATGCTAATAGGGTGTCTGTACATCGCTTCCTTGATCTCGTGCTTCATTTGCTTCTTGTCCAGTGCCCTTCGCACCTGAAAAAGAAAACAAGAATGCCAAGAACCTCGTTGAGGAAGATGTTTTGGGAATCTCAAGTTCCGTCCAGAACGCGTTTTCTTTGAGGGTTCGACAGAAGGTTCGGTGGCTTTCGCCGTGCCAGTGATTTTTTCGGGGACTAACGGATATTCGGTCACTTGTGTATTACTGGGAATGCTCAATCCTAGGCTGATGGGATTGCATTCTAAGTAGGCCGCATTCAGACGGTCGATGCTGACGGAGTCTTCGTGGCCTTTTCTTATAAGACGAAGAATTCATCCATATGTTTAATGGCCTTATATGTCCCGTCGTATGGGGATTCCAGAGGGCGACGTACAGAGTTACGACGAACAAATACATGTGAAGTTTTGAAACACGGGTGAACAGATACTTCTATGGACTGTGGTCGAAGGGGAGCAGGTTTAACTGAAAGCATTGAGTTTGTAAGCCTGCTGACGTATGAGAAGTGATCTACCGCTGCTGGGAAGCTAGAGGGAGAAACAAGCTCACCTGGTAATCGAAGTGTTGTGCCAAATACTAGCTCGGTAGTAGCACAACCAGCATCAGTTTTCAGGGCGCTTCATATCCCTAGGAGAGCTAACGGTAGTGATGCAGTCCAATGTGCATTGTTTGCAGCTGATAACCCAGCTTTCAACTGTCGGTGCAGACGTTCTACCATACCATTAGACTGAGAGTTGTAGACTGTTGTTGCAAGACGCATACAACCAAGGATTTTAGTCAAGGCGAAGAATAAGTCGCTTTCGAATTTCCGTCCGCGATCGGTTGCTTTGGAGGATGGGCATCCAAAGTTTGCGATCCATCGTTCGTCAAAGACGCGTGCAACTGTTTCAGCAGATACATCCTTGAGGGTTACTGCTTCAGGCTATCGTGTGAAACGGTCGATGCAAGTCAAGATATAGGTATATCCATGATATTATGGAAGGGGTCCAACCAAATCTACATTATTGTGTTCGAAATGATCATCAGGGATAAGGAGGGTGCATATCTTACTACCTTACACTTTTGACAAGCACGTATGTGCCCATTCTCTTGCTTCTTTACTGATACCAGGCCAACAAAACTGACGGTACGAGCTTGACGGTAGTTCGAATACCTGGGTGGGATAAGCCATGCAGCGTATTGAAGACGTTACTGCGATAACTTTTAGGCACGATGGGACGATAAGTACTCTTGGAAATGTCACATAGGGTGGTATCTCTTCGCATACCTAAGGGTTTCTCAGCTAATTGCAGAGTTGTTTTCGACAACTCATGTTGAAAGTCAGTACCTTCCTTTTGAAGATAAGGCAGTTTACAAGATTTATTCCGTATATTTTGGTGGGGGAACAAATGCGCGACAAGACATCTGCCTCAGCCTTGTTCACTCCGGATATATGGAAATATCCGATGTAAACTGTGAAACGTAGCCTAGTTGTCGTGATTCTCTAGGTGAGGCGGAGTTAAGAGAGTACGTCAGAGGTTTGTGGTCAGTGAAAATTGTGAATTCACGACCCTCCACTGAATGCCGAAAATGACATGTAGCACAGCACATAGCGAGAAGTTCTTTGCCGAATATGCTGTACTTTGTTTCTGTTAATTGATTGGCATCGTTAATCTCGGAAACTAGTGAAATCATAGATAGATATGAGCTTCTTGCTGAATAATAAGTGTATGAGAAATGAGATATGAAAGTGAAATAGTATTCACCTGAAATACCCGGACTTCTAACTCAGATATGGTGCTGTAGACCTTACTATACACAACATATCTGAGTGTTGATGCAATAACCTCTGTTGGATATGAAGTCATGAAACCAACCTAATTTTTCACTTCTCATGGAGTCTTTTTACGCGATTATAGGCCAGAAGCCATTTTTACTTCAAGAAAATATAAGGGTGATTAGTACCAAATAGAGAATAGGCTCACACATTAGAAGAAATCTGATTACTGGCAGGGTGTTAAGTGAACTTTCTCGTGGGTTTATTTTAATTATTTAGTTGTGGGTATACCTCTGTCGTTATTTCATGCTATTAATGGCAATTTAAACATATATTATTATCACTTGAAGATTGTTTTAATTCCTTGATGTGTTAGTTTCTATGTTTGTAACAAACTTATCATGATTCGAGTGGAGCATTTTCTGCGGGAAAATAAAAGTGCCCTTCATGAAGTACACTCACTGGAATCGATTACTTTCGAAAAACAATTTGGAGATTCTCATTTCAAACTTCGTAATGTTGCTCGTAAAAAATACCGCGAGCTGCTACAAAAGTTCGAGGGATATTTTCCGAAGATTAATACATCTACACACTTTTTGTATTGGGGATTCCTAAGAATAAAACTTGCCATCAATTACCTTGATTTGGGGGATGCATCTAAAGGTATAACTTCATTTTCCATTTCTTAGAGTGCAGCTCAGGAAATTTTGTCTCCATGTGTTATTAATAATGGACAATTCCGATCAATTAGTTGTCTTATTTCCAAAATTACAGAGGATGGTAACCAGTCTCGTCATTATGACTTTATTTCTAGAACTTCAGGAAAAAAGCTGCCTGTCAGCTAAGGAGCTGGTTCTGTTCAACTGCACAGCTGGTGTATTACAAACACTGTTCAACGTACTTGCTGCTATTCAAGTTACAAATATGCAGAACAAACAGCCTTCCATGTCAGACAGTAAACCTATGCATTGGCTCTGTTGTGCTCAGAGGGTGTACAAAATATATGTAGAACAAAATCCACCGAATACAGGACCAGAATTCTGGGACACACTTGTGTGGCAAGAGTGGAATAGGGGACAAGAACCCAGTGGTAGCTATAATGGATCAAACCTGCCTATAAGCCGCCTGATGTTTGAAAATGGATACACAACAACATTATTCTTAATGGCACAGGTTCTACTCATTTTGTTTCTATTATTCATAAATTCATCAGGTTCATAATTTATAAATATGTATATATGTAGTAGGCTGAACTGTCGGCTGCCATAATAAAAGTTATGTTGCAGTTGTTTAGGCATTATTTACCACTTAGACTGTTACATAGAATCGCCCCACCTTAAATAATTTTATCAGTGTTGTGATATGAGTCAAATGGCTTTCTTCTGAAACCAGTGGTTTACTTCAGATTTCGTGTTAATATTGTGTGTAGATAAGTATTCTCCTTCAAGTTTACATTCTAGCTTCGAATAGTCTGTCACAAATGGGTGCAAAATAGTTGACTTTTTTCCTTTAAGTGTTAAGCATCTAAAAACTATTAATGGGTCATAATTATAGGCAAAAAAATACTTTCCTTTTTTAGGTGGTGGTGTCAGTTGGTGCGAATGCTCCACTTCCACTCACTGGGTCCCAAGTCCTGAGCCTGCTCCATTTAATATGACTGAAATTTGGGCACTACGTTCGAATTTAATTCCATATCATATGAAGGAAGAAAGAGTGAGTACGACCTGCTTGGTATAGAGATGCAGTGCATAATATACCCGATTGTATATTAAAAACGAAACAAAATTAGTAGTATCAGTTTAGACCACGGATTGATATCAGTTAGGGCACAACTGAAAAACAGGGAGTACTTCAGGGCTGTTTCGTCCTTGCTTGTGACTCATTTTCAGTAGGCACCCACTGCCAGGGTTCGAACCCAGGACCTTCCGGTTACAAGTCAAGTTCGTATACCATTCAGACCCTGTGATCAGATTCCATGGCCCATGAATACTAACTTCTACCACTGCATTGCATAATGTACCCCACTGTATATTATAAACGAAACATAAACGGTAGTAGTTTGGAACAAGTCATGGTAGTATTTGTTGGGAGTAAGGTTGTAAAATACACCATGGGTTCTCAGTGTTTAAATTCCTGTGACCACCAAAAACACGTAGTAAAATAGAGTAGAACATCTTTAAAAGTCTAGCAGTGTATTAGCCGGCTTATTTGTTATGACCGTAGCTTGATAATACCAACTGCATTTCCTTATAACTGCTTATTTCTAACTTGACAAATCATTTGACCTAAAGCTAAATCTTGCATTTTGAAAAGATACTATGCCAAGAAGAAGGGAATTTCCTTTATGTATCGTTTTTACCTAGTCTTATTTCCTACAGAGCAGAGTGCTTTCTTTGAAAAGATGACTGGCTGCTGTTATTATTCAAACTTTAACAGCAAAGTGATTAGCATAGTGTAGTGTTCATTTTTGTTTCACTTAAATGTGAAGTTGCACGGATTCCAGGAGTTTGATACAAATGTAAATATCCAGTTTAAGATTTATTGGTCTCTAATCCACCTTAAAACGGCTAAGATGCGTTTCTGATATTATCTACAACCTCTCTAAAAAATATCTAAAACTTGTAACGGTGATTCTTCTCTCACAATACAGTCGGTAGAATAATCATTTCAGTTTCTGTGTGTCCTCTCATTTTACATACTCGAATAAATTTATAATCAGTTTGATTAGTGATCTGGACGTTTTTCTAGTTGAACAATATCATGGGATAGTGTCATTTCCGGACTTCATCTAAACAAGCACATAAGCTATGTTTGTCATTTGTTTTCCACCTTTTTTGGGCTAACTGCCGGAAGTTTAGGAGTGTGTTGGCAGAGGATCAGACCCATACCCTCCAAGTGACTGGTGAGCATTCTTCTAATGAGCCATCGACGCGCTGTTTATTCCTAGGCAAGGTAAAGTAGGAGTAAATGTTGCAGAAAGTTTTAATATTTTATAACAATTTAAAATTTTCAAATGTTGAAAATGATGGTCTGACTGGCATTGAATTTCTATTATACTACTGAATTGGGATCACAAAGACTCACAATATCATAAGACTACCTCAGAAAAGGCCTCAGAATAGCTGATAATTAGGTACTGTTTATCATTCTCTGATATGTTTTTGTAAGAATGTAACAAAAGGGCAGGTTGTATACTACCTTTATATTTTGGTAGCTATGGAAATTCCGTTGTTAATTTGTCCTACTTTTTATTATACATACAAATGAATTGGTAGTGTAATATGTCTGTATGGGAAAAACATGCTAGTTTGTTATAAGTGTTCTACTAATTTATAGAGTTTTTTAAGCATTCTGATGTACAAAAGGAGCTTATCACTTTCTTATGCATATATATACATATAATATAAACCACTAATGCTATTACAATCCATAAAATGTTCTTCTCTGTAGGTACATCAGTTAGCTGGGGAACGAAGTTTATCAGCTGATCACTGTCAACTTACTTTATTACGTCAACTAACTTTTGCCAAGCCTCTTGTGAAAGCTGTGAACAGTGTATCAGGTATTCGAATTAGCAAAAAGCTTCGTGCTAAATCAGCTCATCTGTTTCGAGATTTAGAACAAGACAAAATTACTAAACAAACTGGAGAATCAATAACGCATTCATTTCTTTCTATTCGCGCATTCGATCCTGTTGAATGGGCCACAAATGCTGTCACCCTGAGTGATTATTTTTCTTCAGTTGAAGGACCCAATAAATACTATCATAAAACATTTGAATGTTTGTTATCTGCAATACAGTAAGAAAACAAAAAAGCTTTTTATTGGGGTTTGTTTTGGTGATATTTTTCTATGCTATTTGAGTTATACATTTCTACTTGTTTATGGATGGAACTGAAGTTGATAGGTTGAGAAACACATTTCTAAAGACTGCAGCTCGAAAGAGTAGTGAACACACAGGATTACTTTTATATCTTCCAACTTTTATCGCAAACCCGTATATCACTATTCACAGAAGCCTTTTGAAATAAAAACCACTACTCATAATCAAAGTAGGCTAAAAAAATATCATATTGACGTTTAAATGCATGTGATCATACTACTAAGAAAACACTTGTCCCAATGGATGTGATTCCAATTGACTTTAACGACTGAGGGATTGACTTTTTGCCAAGAAACAGTCCCGCTGACTCAGAGTATGTAAACTGCGTTGTCATTCTAGGTGAAGACTCTGATAAAATGCAGAGTCTTCTGAATACCTTGGTCAGGAATTTTCAAGTGTCTGCCTTGCGGTTCACCTGTTTCAAGTGTGAAATGACGCTGAAAGATTAGTCTGCACTGACTCCCAGTTTACAGACAAGGACTGAAGCGGTTGATTGTGTTGGGAAGTTAGATCAGACCTAGTAGGCTGATTGATGACTAAATCCCAGTACGGATGCAAAAGGCTCATATGGCATTTACCAACTTACGTCACCTCTGGTGTGGATGTGATGTCTGGTCATTGATTAAATGATGTCTGTATTGCACACTGATCCGCTCTGTCCTTATTTATGACCGTGAGACATGGCCATTAAAGTTGAATACCTGAAGAGGCTAGTTATTGCTTAAAATGGGCGTTTGCGTTCTAACCCCAGTGTTGAATGGTGTGACATGGTGAGTAATATCGTGGTTAAGCTCAGAGTGTTATATAAAGAGTCAGTAGATGGGTTATAAAACCACATCGATCGGAATGGCCAGAATATGTGTCACGTATGCTGGACCATCGCCTTACTCATCGAGGTGATATAAAATTAGATTTAAAAAGAATTGGGAGCGGTCAAATCAAAAGACGACATCAGTTGATGATGCTTTTGAAGTTTGTTTCGATTCTCATAAGGAGGTGTAGACTACCTGGTTGAGGTCCTCAGGAGGTTAAAAACCAGTGACTTGAGACTGTTGGTGGTGTGTCTGAAAATCGTTCTCAGCAGCTCAAACACATTTACTTCATCAAGCCCTCATGTTTCTCCTTGTAATTATTCTTTGTTCAGTGCATTCCTGCTCACTATAGTCCTTTTTATTTTTTCTCTGCTTTTGTGTGGTATATGGTATCTGGTAACTTGAACTGGCTCATGTATGTACGAATTTTTATATTGAAACTTTGTCCGTCAGTTTATTGAGAATAGAAATGAAAGTAGCAGATAAGATAGTTAACTGATGAAAGTATAAAAAGGGCCGTCTTGTACTATTTGTGCTACTCAGCTTTCATTCCGAGCTTACCTAGTGGAATACAGGTCTTAAACTTTTGAAGTCTCAGTGTAGATGATGTTTTCTTTGCAGAGTGAAGTTTCTAACCCCAAGATCAACCTTCTGTCTTTTCCAGGTCCTCTAGTGGCTAGTGAACTAGGTGACGTTTAGGGGTGCGTCGGCTGGAAATTAGTCCTAAACATCCTGTGTCGCCAGAAAGTATTCCAACATTAAACCACCGATACAAACAAAGAAGCACTGGACAGATATTTCGTCCTAGTTATGCACTCTTTAGCAGTACTCACCGATGACCCCAAAGGGCATGCAGCATAAGTCCTTTTGTGCACTGTGTGAATCCGTTGATCACTCAGCCACTCTCAAACAAGAATATTTCTCCGCCTAGGCATGAAGTGAGAAGTTTCTGCGTTTTGAACAAACGTAACGACGACTACACTATACAAACCTCAGTTTCTTTTTGAATACATTAATTTGTAAAACTGACAATTGCTGATTATAATAATTCATTTGTTTATTACACAGAATGTTTATTTTTGCATTTATTTTAGTGTTATTGAAGAAGCCAAGAGTACATGCGTTAAGAAGAAAGATGATTATACATCAAATCAAATGAATAATACTCTAGCGAATATCTATCGCGATATAGTACGAATCGGTCTTGATCTATTGGAAGTGGGCGCGAATTCATATGAGAAGTCAACTCGTAAACAAATACCTAATAACAAAGTTGAAACAGATCATTTTAAGAGAAGAAAAACTGGTAAGTTAATTACTAACAAAATATGCTATATATATCTATTTTTTGTGCATGATCCTACTTACAATGACTTAAATGTTTGTCGTTAAACTTTAAGCAACATTTAATGTTCATTATTCAAAGTGAATGATTATAGAGTATAAGAGTGTGGATTATTCACAAGCCTTTGAGTGGGGCTATGGTTCAATGGTCTAAACGCGTGGCTTGGATTCACTGAGTTGACTGAGCATACCCCAGTCGGGTAGTGTAGTTGGACCTCAGACAACCGGTGTGGCTTATTGCCAAATGCATGAAAATTCAAGTGATCGTTAAGCAAAAGTAAACGACTGCTTGAAATGATCAAGAATTTGAGAAACTGTTCTTAATTTACTTACGGTTTTTTATTTTTATTTTGACAGGCTGAATAAGTTAACTGTTTCACCAGTAGTGGAACAACAGCAATAATATGCCTACGTCGGTTTGATGGAATGTAGATTTCTTCAGCTAACATATGTATACTCATTTTAAACACTTCACAACTCTCTGGTCATAATCCAAATCGCAGATTAATTTGCACATTGTGAACTTGATTCAGTGTACTACCACCTCTCTCAAGTAGGTAGGTAGTCAGAATTTAAGCTTTAAGGTGGGTCAAACCGCGTGCAATTCTGAGGATCTCTTTCCGAAATACGCGAAACGGCTGGTCACCTGGCTAACAAGTACTACTAGTTGGTGCGAGTAGTATCTAACTACTCATATAAATCAATCAGTAGTATATAGCATAAGTTAAATAATAGCGGTCAGCAACGAATTAGACATCGATCCTGTACTGACCGAAAGAAATAATTTATCAGTAGATGAGTTAATATTGGGTATCCAGTTTTGTAACTTTTACAGTCTATATATTTCAAATAAAATAGACAAATAGACAAATGGGATTTTAATGGTATCACTAATATCCTCAGTAGTAGCAGATATATTTATAGATAGTTGGGGATGTTAAGGATCTTACGATGTATAATCCCACTCCTAAAGTATGGTGGAGACATGTTTCTAACAAAATTAAAGTGTCATGGTCTAAACATATCTTTGATTTCTCTTTAGACAAACCCACCAGTAGACTGAATCCAGCTCACCTTAGAATTGGAAAATGAACAAGGTGAATTAGCTATACTAGTTTGTAAAATTAAGCGGAAATTAGCTTTTATAACAATCTGTCACATTCTAATAGATATTTAGACTAGGAATCATCTCACCTTAAACTGGTAAATTTAGGCCTAGTTTAACGTTTATATGATCGAGCTAGGAGCTAACAAGTAAGTCAGATGAATGAAACAGTGGTCCCGAAAAGAAAAGAATATTAGTGAGTGACTACTCTCTTGACTTCACTCAAAGATTCATTAACACTAGTAACAAGAACAAAATTAATCTGATGCTCACTAGCCACTGGTCCTATTCAGGCAGTTAACCCGGGATTCTAGTGGGAAGCTATGACCAGTAGGGTACAGCAGGTTGACGGTGAAGCAGTAACTCATCGAAGAAGACACTGCGAAGTGATCGCGTTATATCATTAATTGGCGGAAGTTAAGGTTAGTATTATTAACAACGAAAACAATATAAATAAAAAGGAATACAAAACCTTGATGGTACTACCATATAAGGAGGGAACATAGAAAACACCAAATAGGATTCCAAACAGGTCTAGAATTCAGATGGTATTTAAACGAACCAACTCTCTCAAAGATCCAGTGAAGAAAAGTCATATAATTTACCAGGTACCATGTAATGACTGTGAGTTCAGTTACATAAGTCAAACTAGTAGGTAGCGGTCAATTAGATTATCGGAGTAGAGAAACTTAGCTACAGCTAGAATGATTGACCATGCTAAGTTAAATAATCTAGAAAAAAGCCCGAGCATGACAATGAGTTCGCTTGTATTTAATCACACAATAGCATGGAAAAGAGTAGAAGTATTAAAAAGTAATACAGTTAGGTGGAGAGAAAGAGAGGTTAATCACTGAATCTGAATTCATCAGATTTAACGCAAAACACGTGAAATCAGAATGATTAAACGCCCGTCGCCGACATATGAAAAATATTACAATGAAAAACAGTAGGGATTAAGGCTGTATAAAGTAAGCTCGCCTTGTGACGAGAAGGTCCTTGTTTCGAACTCCGATGGGCACGTACTCATGAAGAGTCCCAAGGTAGGACGAAACAGCTGTTCACTACTCTTAGGTTTTCCAGTGGTTCACTAACTGATGTTAGCTCATGATGAAATCCTCAAACCAATCAAACTGAATCCCCACAAAAACCAATACTTTAAAATAAGTTATTTGTGTTGTGTAAACACACTGATATGATTATTAGCAATCAATGAGGTCCAAAAAGTTTTCCAATTACTAATAATGTAACACTTTGTATATTATATCAAATAAATTTATCTAACGTAAACATCATAACCAACCTTATATATATATATTCATTTTCTTATGATTTTAAATAAAGTTCCATCTTTCATGAATGAAATCAGCTTCAAGAACCGTTTTTAACTGCATAATATTATGTATAATTATCAAAAGTATCTAATTTATCATGTGAAACAAGTCAAACAAATATAACAGAAACATATGAAATATTAGAACGAGTTAAAAGGTCTACTTTGACGATAAATACCACAACTGAATTTCGCTTTAGATTAATTCAGCCTAAACGAATTCCATAAAGAATGGTTCAAATGTTTCTCAAGTATTGGTTTTGTAGGTTGGATGACTTCATCATGGCAGAAGTTAGTACTCATGGGCCATTGGGTCGGGTCCGAGTCGCCTAATGGTTGAGCTCTCCTTGTAACCGGAAGGTCTTGGGTTCAAACCCCGGTGGGTGCGTACTGATGAAGAGTCCCAAACTAGGACGAAACAGCTGTTCAGTACTCCTTGAAGGTTTTCCAGTGGTTCTCTAACTGATGTTAGCTCATGATGAAATCCTCCAACCAATTAAATGTTTCTGTCAACAGACGTTTGTATTACTTTACACTAAAATCATTCCCAAAACATGACATTTTTAAATCAATTTATTTGCTATGGTTTTTGAGTATTCTGTAAGTTGTTTTCGTTAATCGACAAATAGGAACCTTATAACAAAATTTATTCTAACCTGTTTAATAGCTGAACAAATTGTATTATCAAAGTGAGTGTACACTGTAAGATGTACAGTAGGTGACTTAACTACATTTATGCAGAACATATCACTTACACTTTTGTACTATATGAATTATATGTTAAGACACTATCAGGAGTTTAAACAGTTACATGTATATTAATGATGTTAGATAGTTGCAGGCAATCAACAGGGATCCCTGGACCTAGGTTTCGTGCTTGCCGGCACTCGTCATCAGGGCTTGTGACTGAACTCTTGTAGGGCGTAGTGGCCATATATATATATATATATATATCAATCCAATGGTTCTCTAACTAATGTCAGCTCATGATGAAAATCCTGTAACCAATCAAATCCCTACAAACCAACACTTGAATACCAACGAGATGCTCACTAGCAACTTGCCCTATTCAGATAGGTAGTTACCTGGGCTTCTAGTGAGAAGTCGTGACCAGTAGGGTGCAGCAGGTCGGGTGTGAAGACAAATACTCGCCGAAGACATTGGCTAGGGGTCGCGCTATGTCGTGAATTGGCAGAAGTTAGAATTCATGGGCCATTGGATCGGGTCCCAGTGGCTTAATGGTATACGAGCTCGCCTTGTAACCAGAAGGTCCTGGGTTCGAATCCCGGTGGGTGCGTACTGCTGAAGAGTCCCAAACTAGGGCGAAACAGCTGTCCAGTACTCCCAGGTTTTCCAATGGTTCTCTAACCAATGTCAGCTCATGATGAAATCCTGTAACCAATCAAATCCCTACAAACCAACACTTGAATAACTATAAGGAAATTGATTATTTCCGTTGATTATGAAAAATTCCCATGTCATGTATGTGTTCTTAAAGCTTGATTGATTGTCATTATTTCGTTCGGTTTAAAATCCACTCTCAGTGTTATTATTATGACATTATGTATAGAAAGAGGTTTAGCTTTTGTATTCAATGTTGGCTTTATACAGTTGTACAAATCGAACAGCCTATGTTATTGGCTAGGTGATATGAGTTCTTGGCATGCTACATTTGATCCTGATAAGACTTCTATGCCTTTATTATTTTTTTATTCCTTTATATTCCCAGTGGAACATAGGGCTTCAAGCTAGTGACTTGAAGTTTCTGTAGCAGTGGTGATTATTTCTACAGGATGGGGTTGCTAGCCTCATGCCTAACCTTCCCTCTTTACCAGTCTTATTAGTGGCTTAGAGAGGTAAAGGATTGCATCGACGGGGCATCGAACCCCGGACCACTTGCGTGGTAGGTGAGCACTCTATCTCTGTGCCACTGACGCATGCCTTCATTATTACTACTTATGTTTTTCCTCTTGCGTTCCAAGCAGAATATAGGGCTTTAAGCTTGGGTTAAGGCATTTCAGTAGCAGTGATTTTTATCTTCATGGGATGGGGTTGCGAACCTCACGCTTTCATTAGGCTGGCAGGTATTTGATTAAGTGTAAAAACCATATGAAATCTCTTAGATAAGACTAACATTATTAATTAAATATTTAAAAAAAATTACTTTTCTAGCTAGTGAGTTTGGATCTATGTTCAATTTGGAATTGAAACCAATATTTGCCCGATTATTGGACTGTGATGTAGATTTACAGCGAACAAAAACTAATCAGCACGAACTGAAAACGAAGGAGGTAGAGTCTAATCAAAGTTTAACAATTGACGATTTAATATACCAGACAGTTACACCACCGACAAATTACAAGACAGCCTCGGGAATATTTCGTATGATATTACATTGTATCATGGAAGCAGAAGACTACTATTCCCTACAGAATTATTGTTCTGATGCAGTTGCTTTAATTCAAGATCGAAGTAAAGCTTATCGTCTAATGGTTACATTTGAAAAGAACATTAATAGACAGGTAACCAGTGGAATAACTTTTTGTACTCATGTAAACATTAGTTATTTGTCGAATTTTATACAGTATGGGGCTGGGAAGCTATATATTATTAGATTGAAGCTATATAAGACGACCTCACTGAAAAGTAAATAATTCTTAGATGAACTCTTTTCTTGAGGCTTCTGTGTAAGAGACAGCGACTATTTAGAAGCATTAGTTTAAGGGAATGAAATTTCACTCTCTTTCTCTCTCTCTCCCTCTCTCTTTATATATATATATATATATATATAATGTAAATTAAGGTAGGATGGGTTGTGTAATATATAGAATAGCACAAGGAATGTTTATGTTTGTCTCTCTGTTTTCGACATAGAACTTTGCACCGATGTGTGGCAGTTCAAGTCGCCACACTCCATGTAGCACACAAAGCAAGAGAAGAAAGTAGGAGAAATGCATATTAGAGACAGTAAACAGAGGTGTGAGGCAAAGGAATAGTAATAACGAAGAACAAAACAGTTTCATTGGAAATCATAAGTCACAAGGAGTGGATGCATCTGTACCAGCCACTGAGAACGATTTTGAGCCATGTCACCAATTGTTTCCAACCATTGGATTTTACCGTCCCGAGAACCCGACCAGGAAGTCTACACCTTCCTACGTGGCTTAGACTAACTGTTGTAGATTTCATTGACTGGTGCCATGTTTTCGTTTGACTGCCGCTAGCTCTTTTCCAGCCTGGCCCTATATCAGCTGACATTGCCCTTCGAGGAAGGCGATGACTAGTCATACGTAACACATGTCCTAACCATCTCAGTCGATGTAATTTGACAGCCTCGTCGACTGATTTCCCCGCCTTACCTAGCACTCGACGCCTAACCTCAATATTGCTCACCTTATTATACCACTTCACGCGGGAGATAGAACGCAGACACCTATGGTCGAAGACAGCTAATCTTTTCATGTCTTCTGCTCTCAATGGCCAGGTCTCACAGCCATAAAAGAGGACGGAGCGGACTGTTGAGCAGTACACACGCCCTTTGGTCAATAGTCGGATATCACGTCTACGCCAGAGACGGCATAAACTGGCATGTGCGAAACTAGCCCTCTGTATTCGTGCTGAGATTTCGTCAGAGAAAGAAAGAGGCGTGGAATTGACAAGATTAGCAGGCAAATAAAACAGCTTGTAACAAGGAGAGAAATATGATGACATAATACGGAAAAAACTACACTGAATTAAATTACAAAGGGTGATAGCTGAGATAATAAAGGAAACTGTTTGAATTACAAATAATAATAAGGGCTGTTAATACAGATCACTTAGAGAGGACGAATAATAAACCGAGTCAAGATAGAAATAGTGACTACGCTAATTTAATATAAGCAGGTTAAGATAATCGAAAGGAGGTGTTTAAGTAAACTCCTTGTGTATGCAGAGCTCTCGTTTCTCTATTTCATTCAATAGCTAAACCTTCACTCGGACAAGTAATGGTTTCAGCAAGTAATTTTTTTCGCCTTATGAATTGTTTTAAAGGAAGAGGTTATGGAGAAAAGCTGACCAGTGTTGGCCAGATTTTCAACTATTGTTCTTCTAATAGTTTCACTTCCATCTCTTCATAATCACGCAGGGTAGTTTCATTGCACTCCTTTGAATAAAATCCTCATCGAATGACAGATATACTCAGCTCCACAGACATCGTGTCGAATTAAAGCATTGCATTTTCTTGATAATTCATATATATATGAGTCCATGTTATTTCGCTTACTTCATTTTCTCATAGTTGTTGCATTTATCGCTGAAGGACACTTTTAATACACTTAACCGTTCATAATTATGTCAAAGCAATTTTAAGACTTTCTTAATTCATATGTGTAGTTCAACAGCACTTTATTGTTTCAATTTTATTCGTAGTAGAATGTTCTAAGTAGGTGTAATGTATGCTAAACTGAGTGAATGCAACACGAATGGTTCAATAATCATTACATATACTTTTGAGAAACTCTGTTACGAATAAAAACGAGGAAATAAGGTGCTAATCGGAGAGTGTTACATGTGCCTAGGCATCGCCTTTCTCGATGGGCAATGTCAGGTGACATAGGATCAGGTCGGAAAAGAACCAGCGGCTTCATCAGTCAATGAAATCCACAACAGTTAGTTTAGGCTGGTCACGTCGGGAGGTGTAGACTTCCTGGTTGTGGTCCTCGGGACCGTAGAAACCAATGAAGGCTGGAGACAATTGGTGATATGGCTCAAAATCGTTGTCAATAGCTGGTTCAGATGCATCCACTCCTTGTGGTTTATAATATCCAAAAAATTCTATTGTCCTTCCACATCGCTATTCTTTATGCCTCATATTTCTGTTTATTATCTCTGTTTTGAATCTCTTTCTATTCACTTCTCTTGCTTTGTATGCTATATGAAGTTTGAAAACTCGAAATTCGGCACATCTGCGTAAAGTTCTACGTTGAAACCAGTCAGTCAGTTAATGGGAGAGTAAAACTGGAGCACTTTAGTACATTATAATTCCATACTAGATTAGTGTATTTGATGATACAGTATTAATTAAAGGATTGTATTTCGAGCACAATTTATTTCATAATCATATTATAATCACTGTGTGTTATATCAAGTAAAGTTGTCTAGTGTGGAAATGTAGCGACACTGTGGGAGTTGTTTTATCCTAAGATCTGTTATAATTGGTCTAGGTGAATAGGTGTTTAAACTTAACTTCTTACATTTAAACTGCAAAAAATAATAATTTTCAAATTATGGGAAATATCTATAGCTCGGGTGGATGATTTTTATTTGGTTGTATTCTATAAGTTCGGTGGTTTAATTGCAAAACATTCATCATCTTTTTAGACATTATCTTCAGCATAAAACCTAAAATAAATGGTTCAGATTTTAGGAATGATTGTTAATCTACATTAGTAGTGATCGTCTCAGTTGACTTGGAAGGTGATTCCTGCAAAGTATTCAATGCAGCGATTGTGTTAGTTTGTGTACTATATCTTTTCCACGTAGTTTTAATTATGTAGCTGTTATTGCAGAAGCATTCCCAAATACATGGCAGGATGAATTTTCTTGTGATTTTTGAGGATAATTTCTTGCTGGTAGTTTGTTTCAAGTTTTGATATTTTTCTACTTTGTAATGCATTGTAGTGGACTAAACGACTAAGTTTGTTCATACACTCAATTAAAAAGTACAGAACAAATACTAACATGTATGTACATATAAGGTGTTCAGTCCATATAAGTTAATATGCACAAAAATTGTAGTTATTTGAAAACCTATAATAGTCCTAAAATACTCAAAATATAGACGTACAAAGTGATAGGGATGAAATTGTCCTTTTCTTGAGTATGCAAATCCTCAACTACACATTAGAGATGCCAACTGCTGGAGAGCACTTGTGTAGAGAAAAAGTAGACTGGAGCGAAGTATCCTAATGTGGATGTGTCGTTTGGTACGAGGCAGAGTTGGTTGACAGATGTGATAAGTGAGAAGCTGGAGAGAGGGAAGAAGCTTCGTCTGTGTTGCGCGCGGAACAAGGTTGTGTCCTTGTTCAATCTCACGTAAAAACCACGATTTTCTTTGAATTCCTTATTTTTACTATTTTTTTAAGTGAACGTATAATTTGATATGTTTTTCGGTCACCACAGCATGTAAAGTGATTATGACTTGAACTAAAAAAATTGTGGCGTTCACGTTTTGGGTACCTTAATTTTATAACACTTTCACTGTTATTATTCAAACATTTACGTTCCCAGTGGAACATAGGGCTTCAAGCTAGAGGCTTGAAGTTTCTGTAGCAGTGGTGATTATTTCTACAGGATGGGGTTGCTAGCCTCATGCCTAACCTTCCCTCTTTATCAGTCTTATTAGTGGCTTAGCGAGGTGAATGCATCGGTGGGGGATCGAACCTTGGACCACTTGCGTGGTCGGTGACCACTCCACCGCTGTTCCACCGACGAACATTCATACATTGAGTTATGTTATTTTCATTCTTCTCCAGTCGTAATTTCCAGTATTCTAAAGCTGATAAAAGGCTGTGAAATAATGTTATTATTTTATGTTGCTTGTTTTACCTTACTTTGATAATTTATTTGCTCGTTAATTTTGTCATGACTGGCATTTACTACTTTTATGTGAATTCAGTAATATTGCATGTGTTCAAACTTTACTACTCTGCTTGTACATCTGGTTTATGAAACTTGAATGAGTGAAATGACATTTTAAGTTTAGTAGAATTGTGGTAGTATTAGTAAGGAACTAGTATAATGCACCTTTTCTATTGTACTCAAATTAATGTCGTAGACATTATGTAGAAGTAGAACATAGAGGGTTTTGGGAGCAGCATTGTTCAGTTCTCCAAATAATGTATAGTTGCTGCAAAATACAAAAACCTTCCAATGAAAACTTTACTTGTACACTTTTTTCGTATTGTGTTTCTTTTGGTTTTCTTTTATGCTTTCTATTTGGTTTCACGAGGGTGTTTCATCTCTTCATTTCGCTATTTAAACCACCACTCCAACATTCAGTCTTCTCGAGGAAGATACCATACACAATATACTACTTAAAACCTCTTGTCAGTAGCACATGTCACATCAGTTGACTGAAAGCTTATCAACTAACCATATACTGGTTAAATATAGAATCCAATAAATCAGAAATTATTGTTTTTTATGAAAACTAACTGAACTAACGAATGAAATTTTCTAGCACATTATTAATTTCATACAATTGGTTCCCTTGATAAATTTCGATAAAGAAAGGAAGACGAAATTTGCAGTATAAAATGATATCATTCTATTTCACAGGTTCACATCAGCTGCAGACTACCTGAAATTACAATGGTTATATAAATGATAATAACATACTTAAGTGTTTGAGTGGTAGTAGAGAAGAGATACTATAAAATTGACGCATCCAAAAATGAAAGCATTACAATTTTTAGTTTAAGTCTTCATCATCAATTTATACGCTTTCATAGTAGAAGAGAGAGGGGAGGGGTAAGACAGAAAACAGAAAAATTGAATAACAGAAACAGTATTAGCTTGTAGGTTCACATAGCAACTCCAAAAAACAAAGGCGGTTACAGTTTATAAGATTAAGATTTGTTCAATGAGTTGAGATCACTGAATTAGATGACTAATTATTGTAATCAAAATCAAAATTCAGTTACTAAGGGAGTGAGAGGTTAATCGCACTCTCTTTCTGTATGCATAAGTCTGGTTTGAATCGTTTGATTGCGATCGCTTCGGCAAATCGTAGTAAATTTGCTGTCCTTTGTCTATCTAATATTTTGAGGGACTTAAAAATCTCTACGAGATGTCCGGTATCAACAATATGTCTGGTAATTGCACTCTTTATCGACATTGTTAATTATTATTAAGTATTGTTAATCCTATGCTAACTGCCTCTTTTTCTGTTATGTAGTGTTGTATGCATAAAAGACGAATTGATATGTTAAGTGATGTACTGAAACAACTGAATGCAGATTATTATTTGAATATCTGCTTAGAATTAACATTCGAGCTGGCTGGAGCGGTGAGTACACTACGAGATTTAAAGAAGAAAATATTCGATGAGGTTAGTTGATTGTTATGCTGTAAAATTTAGCATATCTTGTTTCTATTTTGTTTTTCCATGGAAATGCACTTTTAGAATCCCAGTAATCATAATTATATTAATAATTATTATTATAGTAATAGAACAGTAAAACTGCTAGTGTTTTTTTAGTTTTGGAGAAGTAACTTAATTATTAGAATAAAATCTTTATGAATTGTTCGTCATGTTTAAAAGTCTTTTTTCATTGTTCAAATTCTATATTTTTATCTCGGTAAATCAAGTTTGAGAAGTAATCATTGTATTATTAGTATTATTCCTTTGAATTCTGAGCAGAACATAGGGTTTTATCAGCACATCTCCATTTCAGCCTGTTCTGTGCGATCTTTTGCAGCTGGCTCCACGAGTGCCCATAAACTTCCGTTTCTCCCCCCCCCCCCACACACACGATCTCCTGCATGTTAACCTCACAGCCACGCCTAACTCCTCGTCGTTTCATATTTGGATTTAGGCCTGGTGTGTGACTTCACTTAACGGTATTCTAAGCGTGCGTCCAATCCACCACCGTCTCCTACTGCAAATATATGTGTCGGATAATAATCTCTTGGTTTGTTCGCTACAAAGGTTCCTTGTTGTTTATTCCTGTTCAGGTGGTCAATTTATTTTCGGTATCGAGTGAAGGTGTCTGTTTATGCTGTTGGGAATATTTTTCATGACACACCGACTTCCTAAATCATACAGAAGCTCTGGCTGACTTGACATAAGCGTTGGAAATTTGCATCTTGTTCCTTATGCTGAGTAAGTAATATGTGGCTCTCCTCACTGATTTGAGAGATGTGAATACCTCTCATCGTTCACTGTTCTTGTCTAGGTTCCACATCCTCATCCGTGCTGCTTGTAGTCCAACTAATGCTCCGTAGGTCAGGTAAGTGTAAGAGACGACTTTCTTCAGATTTCTTTTATCGATGGCTTTCGGCACACTTAGATATTATAATGTTTTAAACGATGAAAGTAACTGGGTTGTTTTTATAATGCGCCTTCTTCTTGATGTGTGTCTTCAAGCAAATTTAGCATTGGTTTTTGCAAACAAACAGAAGAAAACCTAGAATACACTGGGATTTGAGTCGGCGGCAGATGGATTATGAATAATAAACCCTGTCTGGATCACAGTTATTGTGCAGTTCTTAATTTCCTGCTAAGAACTACTGGTGATTATATTGCTTTACAACATATCAGTCTCCCTAGCTAATAACATATCCGCCTAATCGACAATTCATCAGTCTCTCCTGCTGTTTAATTCATTATCATGAAAATTGTCTTGAGAACATCTGCTTCGGTAGACTGCGTGGTGATGGAGGATAAACAACTACATATAGCTGAAATATAGGATAACAGTTAAAAATTATTTTTGCAAAGGGATTTTTTTCCATGGATCTCATTGATTTCAACTTAGACCACAAGATGATATCATTTAGAGAATCTTTGAAAACTAAGGAGTCCTGAAGAGCTATTTCGTCCTAGTTTGGTGGTAACTGGCAGTCTGTAAAACTTTCTTATTGTAAAAATGTTGGTTCAGAATTACCTTCTAAAGAATTATATCACACATGCTTTATCGTATCTTTAGAACTAGAAACCAATCTGCTTTCAGGCAACATAACGCGTCTTCAATTTGTTATTTAATACAATCAACGTAACGACAGAAGACAAGAGCCAGGCAACAGATCGCCTATTGAAAAAACCAAGGGACATTTGTAGATTTTTATGTACATTATTATTCGTTATTTTAGTAAAGAAGCAACATCTTCTGATTGGTTTTTCTTGTTGAAGGTTATTCTGTACTGTTTTTGGTTACCGTTGCTTACATAGTTATTTATATATCTGCGAATCGTATTTGCACAAGCTAAGTTTGCTGTGATTGGTTAGTGAGTTCCTCAAGGTTAAGCTTTGTTCTTGTTTTTTTTCATGACCCCGATTTGAGACGTAAACACATACGTAGATTGTTGTTTACTATTTTGACTTTGCAGACAGCTCTCACCACATCAATACTTGAATATAGTCTAGTTTACCAGGGTTATAGAACACTTCATCATTGTGTTTTGTTGTGTCGACTGTGAGCGGGCTGAATCTCTGTGTTTACACATCTTACGCGAAGCAGTAGTTTATACTGCAAGGGACAGTGAGTTTTTTAAAAATTTTAGGAAGTGTAATTTTTACGAGCTATTCGCCTTTAATTTGCCCTTTGAGTATTACATAAATAATTTCGTCTTCTCTCCGATAGCTCGTACAAAAAAACGATCAAAATGCCAAACACTATGCACGTAAATCTAATGATCTTGCAAAACAAGCAATATCACTCTATCAGAATTTCCTGGAATTATATCGAGCTAAAAGTAATGACAAAACAAATTTAGATTTCAAAGAAAGTGATGTCAAATCAATTATTGTAAGTCACTTTTCATTTTTAAATGTGTTTAAAGAATAAATAGGGTGAGGAGAAAAGTAATCGTAAGGTATTCACGTTTCACAGAATAGGAAATATCATGACGACATGCATGTCAAACATGCGCAAGACGACACCAACAATGAGGAATCTAAATTACCAGTACTAATTTCATACAAGGAAGGAACCTCGAAAACCCTACGCAGAATTCTTAACAGGGCAGGAATAAAAGTGTCTGGCATTCAAACCACCCACAAACTCAATTAGAAACAAGCTTTGTCGGTAAAATGATCCTGTGGAGCCATTAAAAGAAAACAATTTAGTTTATCTAATACCCTGCTGGAATGATTGTCAGGTCAAATACATAGGTCAGAGTAGTAAAACAGGGGCAGTCAGATTAGCCGAGCATAAAAACCTACCGAAATCTGCTACAACTTATATAAACACTCAGTGAATGAGGATATCAGTTTAGTAGTCCCAGTATATTCTGTAGGCTTCAGTTGAATTTTGTTTTTAGCAAGAAACCATCGGTGGCACATCGGTTATGACTCTCGCCAATCATGCACATGGTCCGGGGTTCGATCCCCTGCCGACGCACACCTGATATCTATGGTCGGCCTGCAAAATTTGGGCTACCGATATCACATGCTGAAAATGTCATACCTGTACTAAAAAATACGGTGTGTAATCAAGCTGTAATCAAAAAATAAAAAAGTAAAAAATAAATTTATTGAATTTTAGTCCTCACTGCTAATTTTCGGAATACCTATCAATAACAGGTAAAGAATAACATTGTCTAAAGAGACAATAAATTGAAAATCTTAGAGTAAATATATAGTGAATTCATAAAGTGGTAGTTTGCTCCAGCTTTTCTTTGAGAAACTTCTGAAATACCTTTAAATATTGCATTGAAACTGACAACTATCTCACCATTGAGAAACACTCTGCCAACAAATTCACCATCGACCAACTTTCTACTTAAATACACATCTTATTGACTAGAAATACTTTAACTCACTGCATTCGGAGTACCTTATGTGTACGTCTTTCTTATGATCTCTCGTCGGCAAACATTCTGGCTATTGATATCCAGAAGAATGTGGTCAGTCATCAGTTTAACTAAGTGTACACGAGTGAGTAATCAGCAACCATCTGTTGTGGACCTACCATGGAAGGGGGACTTAATAGAGAGCTCGGTAACAGAACAAATATTAGAATAAAATTCAAGTTAGCAAAATGGTATTGTAACAGTATGTCATAAAAATAAAGTTGACGAGTTGTGGAAATTAATGGTTACTTGGTGATACAGTTATAGTTCGCTGCTACAAATTATTAACATAATCCACAGAAGCGTTCACTGCTGGAGTGTGTCCACTAGTAGAAGCTGTACACAGGTTGTGGAGTATTCTTCGGATGAGAGGTTCCTGCAAAATCCCAACAATACAATGTGGTTAGTAATGAAGTAAGTAGACAGTATGAACCAGTGAGAATATGAAACGTCGAGCAGCACACTGTATTTTGGATTGTACTCCAAAGTTACGTATATTATTCAATAAATCGTTTTAAACAAAAGCTGTGTTTAATGTTTCCATTTTTAACATCTAACAAAAGACTGTCTAATCATATTGTTCCAGACTCGACAAATCTAGGGTGACAATAAGTAAATCAAACTAAATCAACTTAATGAACGTCCTACTCACCTGCGTTTACTTTAGGTGTTTTAGGTGATGTTCATCCGACCAGGATGAGACGCCATTGTTTTTCTCTTCTCCTTTGTGCTGATAAAATGCACATGCTCAAAGTCCTTAGTTTATCCTTACTAACCAGATAAACTGTAAAGTCCTTTTCCGTAAACAACCTTAGCATTTTATTCTATTTAAATATAGTTCTCGTCAAAGCATATCTCTAAATGACTGATTATTTTTCATTTGTGTCTTTTAATCAATCCTTGCAGGTTAGACGGTGTAACATTGTGTTTAGTAAGGTTGTCACTGTTTAGCGTATCAATAACACAACCAGTCCCTTACGCAACTGCTGATTGAAGGCAATTGTCAGAGAGTCCTAGACTTAGACTAAGCTTTAGATTGCTATATCACAGGCGTATGCTTAGAAGTTAAAGCATATGATATATGTTATAAGATGAAAGGTAGATAAAATACACCTTATCATAAATTTGAGCAGACTGGTTGCTGGACAAAGAACATTCTTCTCAAAAGCCTCTTGATGAGTTTTCTACATTCTCATATCCGTAGTAGTTAAAGAATAATTGTTTTATTGGATCGAGGATTTCATCATGAACTGACATCAGTTAGAGAACCACTGGAAAACCTTCAAGGAGTACTGAACAGCTTTGTTTCGAACCCCGGCGGGTGCGTACTGCTGAATAGTCTCAAACTAGGACGAAACGGCAGTCCAGTACTCCCTGCTGGTTTTCCAGTGGTTCTCTAACTGATGTCAGTTCATGATGAAATCCTCCATGCAATCAAACAAAATCTCTACAAAACCCATACTTGAAAATAATTGTTTCCAAATATATGACTATGTTTCAAATAACATCGAGTCGTTAAAATTAATAGTGTATGACTCAAAACATTTGTATACAATAACTGGCATAAATGTAGCGCCAAAATGAATATCAGATAAATAATGCAGTTTATGGATTTATAGACTGCACAGCTATAATCGCTGGATTTGTTTCTTTTGTACTCGGAATTCTGGTTGTCTTAGGCGATCTACAGTGCCTTCTTCTGTTTGGAGTATTCGGTATCTAGAGGCCTCTGGCAATTTATTCGGCACTCGATAAGTTATAGTGAAGGATTCTTTAATTTTGGTTTTATGGGCTGTTTGAACCAGGCGATCTAATATCGAATTCATGATGATCTTTACTACACCTTTATTTAGCCACACTGGTGAATGTTCCCAAGCACGAAAAATTTAGGTAGCTAGAGCGAAAACTACTGTAACTGGATCTGTGGAAGCAGTTCTATTGGTAGATACAAAAAGATGTGGCTAGCCTAAGTACTTCGTCATTCAGCTGAAGAATCACAACCAGGAAAATATGAGCTGTAGCTTACTGATAGCCGCTACTACTACTGCTACCATGGTCTGCTGCGGAACCTAAGAACTGATAAATTCTGTATTGATTTTATTAATTTGTGATATTCAGTATAGTGTTATTGTTGATGTCAATTGTCTTATACGCATGTTGTCAACTGTAATCTATTGACCTTAATGACGTGATCTGATTATGCGTATTAAACTGTAGGACATAATGAAGACGTTATTGAAAGCTTGTGCACTGTGGTAGAGTGCAATTCCATCATGGGTAAAGTTTGTTTTGATAAGGTCTCACAGTGTTATACAGTAATGTTTACTGATGACGTTTCGAGCACAATTTATCGCTCATAATCATATCAAGGTAATCACACGACTTCCTAAATTCATTTTAATAGTTCCGCTGTTTTTCACTTGATTTTTACTTGATTTGATTGGTAGCAATATTTTCCATATTTCGGGTATGAGTGATGAATCATTCCTATTGCATGTGTTGGGTGTAGTTTCGATGAACAAGGATTCAGTAATCAACCTCTCTCTCCACCTACCTAGATTACTTTTTAGAATTTTAACCCTCTCCCACGATGCTATTGTGTGGTTGTGTGTTAATGCATGCATTGCAATTGCTGAGCTTTTTTCTAAATTACTTATCTTCTCTGGGTCAACCATTCTTACCTTAGCTAAATTCTTATATTCTGACAATCTGACTACCCCTGACCTACTAGTTTGACCTATGTAGTTGACCTCACAGTCATTGCAGGGTATTTTGTAAATTATATTACATTACTGTATAACACTGTGAGACTTTATGAAAACAAAATTTACCCATAATGGAAGTTATTGAAAGGCATATTGTTTGTTTACTAATCAGTCTTGTAAACTTATTTACATAAAGGGAATTTCATTGATTTTGTCTCTTCGTTTGTTTTTGTTTTTTTTGTAGAAGGCATATATTTATACAGCTCGTTTATACTCTCATCAGATATCATTTGATAATAATGAAAAGATTCAGAATTTGACAAAAGCTCTAGACTTTTATGTAGAGACAGTCTGTATTGCAGAGAACCATATTAAACGTCATCCTGAAACGTTGATTAAAAATTGTGAAGAGGTTAGAATAGCTAAAGAAATGGTTAGTTTATTGCCAGTTAAACTTGGCAGATTATCTCGTGGTGAAAGTATACCAGATTAATTGAAACAAATAACAATCACTTCTTAATTATTAATAAATTCATTAATTGTACATGTTTTCATTTGTTTCGTTTTTCGTTTTTTTAATTTAATTTTTCATTTCCTAATAAATTTTAATTTTGTTAAATTTGTATTAAATCTTTTCATCATTTATTTTGTCTGCATGTAGAGGTGAGGAAGTTGTCATAATTAGAAGCAGAACGTAAAAATGGAGAGTATAGATAATATTGAAAAGAAACAGGTATATTATTAAATGTCAGATAATAAGATGACGATTAATGGAACTCTTGACAACTTCACAGTTGAATACTGTCTGAAGTAGTTCCGGATTATATCACCGAGATTCTTCAATCAAGGATTTTTAATAACCTAATGATATCAGTAACACAATTTTTAGCTTCTCTTATACTGTCCAGGTCGCTAGTTTGTTGATTTCAAACCGCAAAACACTATGAAATTATTCTTTTGTGTTGTTTTATTCTCTACCCTTAATTCTTTAAGTGCTTAGGTTTCACTGTCCTTCTAGACATTATCTTCAACGTTAACTTTGTTGCGTGCTTTATTTGACTAAATTAGCGTACACGTGTTTCCTAGTACTTCTTCACGTTTATCAATGTGCATAGACGTTGTGGCTACTCGGAGCCCGCATCGTAAAATCAAAAATCACTTGCGAAGAGTACGGTCGTGTATTTGTAACACTCAAAAGCAACAGCCACAACCAACGAAGGAAGAAGACGAAGATGTGAGTGTAAGGTGTTTATTTCCACCAAGTGTAGGGCCAATCGTCAAGCAATGATCTGAAACAGAGAGCAAAGCGCACGTTAGCAGGGTGATCACACAAGTGCCGCGTGCTAGTAAGAACGAAGACTCAAGGTCAAGGAGTTTATTTACAACCAATCATAATACAATTAGGTGATAGGGGAAGAGCCTTCCTATTGGTCATCCGTTGCGTCGTTTTGGGCGACCAATCCCTGTACGCTACGTGGCCAACCTGAAACTAGATAAACATACACTTTAAACATTAGAAAACCGCTTACTTACCAGGCCTTACACTACCCCCTCTCCTATAGGAGCACTGTCCACAGTGCTAGGTGGCTGTTAGTGCGGGACTTGTCTGAACTAAGGCTTGTTGCCGAAAAGGTTTCAGTCTGTTAAAATGTGTGACTAGACTATGAGCGGCATTGGGACCCTGGATCCTACATGTGCAGTCACTAAGTACCTCTACTACCGTAAATGGTCCATCCCAACGTTTATGGAATTTAAGAGCTTTCCCTTTAGCAGGTGCATCCTTTAGTAACATTACCTTGTCTCCCGGCTCCACGGGTGATCCATGTGCTTTCTTGTCGTAGTATTCCTTCTGGTACCTCTGATTTGTTTGAAGTATATTCCTAGTCATCTGGTGTACCTTGTTTAGGTTACGTCTCAGTTTGATAACGTGTTCTGATGCCAACAGCGTGTCATCTCCTAGTATGTTTGAAGTTAAGTCAACTGGGAACCGGAGTTCTCTTCCGGTAATCATATAGTGAGGCGTTTGACGCGTAGCTTTGTGAATGCTTGCTCTGTACGCCATTAAGCACTGCGAGAGAGATCTGTCCCATTCTTGAGGGTTGTTTTGATCTACAAATGCCTGCAGAAGTGATTTTAGTGTCCAATTGGTGCGTTCAACCAAACCATTTCCTTGTGAATGGTATGCTGTAGTGCGTGTTTTACGAATACCCATTATGCGACAGAGTTCACTAACAACGATACTTTCAAAGTTGGATCCTCGATCTGAAGGTAGCTGAAGTGGTGCCCCCCAACGGCTGACCCAGTGGTCGAAAATTGATTCTGTGATGGTTACAGCATCAATTTGAGGAATCGCGATAGCCTCGCACCATTTGGTAAAATGGTCTACCATGACTAATATGTAGTCATTATTTCTAGAGGTTACTGGGAGAGGACCAACCAAGTCTATTTGCACTAAGTCATTTGGATGGCCAGTTATAATGGGTTCTAAGGGTGTCCTATTATATTTGTGTGGAGCCTTAATGGTTTGGCATACCTCGCAGGAGTCACAGAAATCTACGATATCCTTTCTTTGATGAGGCCAACAATAACGCCTTTTAGCTGCTTCTATCATCTTACCTGAGCCCGGGTGGCCTAACTGCTGGTGTAATGACAACAGTACCGTGGGTAGTGCCGACTGCGGTGCCACAACGCGGCGAGTATAAGTGGGCCCATGTTGGTAGTAAAGGATGTTATCGACAATTTTCAAATTGTCCCACAGATCCCACAAACACCGAGTTTCCCATCCAAGCTTACTTATTCCCTGGGCTGTTGGTCGTTCGCCTCCACTTCGAACACGTTCGTAAATCAGGGCCAGTTCATGATCTGAAGACTGAAGCTCGGGCCAACTATATGAACTATGCGCCTCTAGTTGGAGCAAATAAACTTGTGCTTCGGTGCATGATGGGCAGTCACCGTGATACCTAAGAGATTTACTCGATAATGCATCTGCGTTTCCGTGATTTTTCCAGCTCTGTGCTTGCATTCGAAGTCATACCCTTGCAGCTGTTCTTGCCATCTAGCAATCTGACCCTCAGCTTTTTTAAAGTTATGTAGCCAGCTAAGGGCTTTGTGATCAGTCCGTACTAAGAAATGTCTACCGAGGAGATATGCTCGAAAGTGTTCAACGAAATTGACAAGTGTCAGCATTTCTTTCCGCGTGGTCCAGTAATTCTTTTCACTCTTGTTGAGTGCACGACTTGCATATGCTTCCACTCTCTCTACTCCATCTGCATCTTTCTGAGAAAGAACAGCTCCGATACCGGTGTCGCTAGCGTCTGTATCTAGGATGAAAGGACCTGCCTGGTCAGAAACGTTGGGGTATACCAGAATGAGAGGGCTACATAAACGGTCTTTAAGTTTCTCGAAAGCTTCAGTAGCCGATTTTGTCCAACCGTAGTCTTTCTTCTTGAGAATGTCGAATAAAGGAGCTGCAAGTAAAGAGAAGTTAAGTACAAAACGTCTATAATAAGAAGCTAACCCTAGAAAACTGTGTAGCTCGGAAGCTGAGTTTGGGACGGGCCAGTCTTTAACTTCCTTCACTTTTGCTGGATCACATCTAATGCCTTCGGCTGATACAATATGACCCAAGAAGCACACTTCTTTACTGAAAAATTGGCATTTATTTGGGTTCAGTTTTAGCTCAACTGCTTGCATTCGTTCTAGTACTTTAGCAATGTCACTTAAATGTTCATTCACTGTCTTGCTATGTATGATAATATCGTCTAAATATACCAAACACTTACCTGGTATACAATCGCTAAGGACCGTCCTCATGAGACGTTGAAATTTCGCTGGAGCATTTACCAGACCAAATGGCATCGTTTCAAATTCATACAGACCTGAATGTACAATAAATGCTGCTTTTTGTCTATCTTCTGGGTGTACTTCTACTTGCCAATATCCAGAAGCTAGACCAAAGGTAATAAACCAATTCGATCCCCCTAGGGCATCAAATGTGTCGTCTATACGTGGTAAGGGGAAACAGTCTCGCCTAGTTACTTGGTTCAACTTACGATAATCCACACACAACCGAAGTGCTCCATTCGATTTCTTAACTAAAACTATTGGGGAAGTCCATGGGGATACAGATGGTTTGATGACATTCTTCTCTAACAGTTCATCAACTAACTTATTCAGCTCTTTCTGATAATGTGCAGGTACTCGCCGTGCAGGTTGTCTACAAGGTGGGGCGTTACCTGTATCTATGTGGTGTTGGATCAGTTTTGTTCTCCCTGGGTTTTTTCCATCCCAGTCAAAACAGTCTATGTAATTGTCGAGTATTTTATTAAAACTGTCTGTTGTCTCCAAGGGTAAGGTTTCTACCGTAGTTAACATTCTTAGTTTCTCTTTCATAACATGGCCCCGTACGCCAAATGTGCCGTGCTCTAAGTCGTTTCCTGGAATGAACGGAATGAAGCTGTCATTCAATGAAAGAGTCTTCTGGCTACAGTCTATTGTCCCGGACAGCTTTTCTAAGAGGTCAACTCCTATGATTACTTGCCACGGCACCTGAGTTGATACAACGAAAGCATGCTGAAGTGACAGTGTCCCTAACTTTAGAGGTAGTAGGACTACTCCCTGGGATTGCATGCAATCTCCGCTGGCCGTCGTAAGCCGCAACTTGTGAGTGTCTATTGTGGGCCTGAAATTTTCTGGGACACACGAGGAATGTATAACGGAGGAATTTGCTCTTGAATCAACTAGCATTACACATAATCTGTTACCTATATACCCTGAAACTTTCGGGGTGGAGGTGGCGCCGATTAGGTTAATAGTCGGTAAGCCCACAAGTTCGAGCATGCTTACCAAACTGCCTTCAGTAGTAGCAATTGTTTCCTGAAGCCATTTGTGACTGTGGGCGTCCTTTATACTGTTTTCTGGGCTACTGAGTGTATTGTGGTGTCTTGTGACGGTAGTCCACTGCATTAACTGATTGTGATGTGGTTCCTGGCTCTTCCAGGCTTTCCAGTAGACGTGCCCTGTTTTCCGCTTCTTCCATGGATGACGGAGTATGCAAGATGAAGTCTTTCCTGTAACGGAAGTCGACACCTTGCAGGAACTTGCTGAAAACAACTTCTTCGATCTCTGTAAAAGGGCTGTTTTGCATAGCTTGACGAGCAAGCTTGCGTAGCCGCAGTGAAAATTGATTGACCGCTTCCCCTTGACCTTGCCTGCACTCATTCAGGCGTTTCAATGCTTCTATTTGAGGCACTGATGGTACAATGCGTGCTCGTAGAGTACTCAAAAGGGTACCCATTGTCAGATGCACATGGTCCAAACCTATCACGTGCATTTCCAAAGAACGTCCGACACGATCGATGACAAACGCGTTTGGGTGAGGGACGTTCATCAGATCGACATATCGGTGCACCTTGTCCGACCATAGGTCGAAGTCATCACCAACTTCTAATGTATGTGGCATGGGATGGACATAGCACGATCCAGACTGATTTG